TATAAATGTAATTTATAATAATTGTTAGATGATAGTACGCAGGTATGGAAGATAAAGTCACAAGTTAAAGTGCAGAAGTGAGTCTTTATATGCACTTAACCTCTCTATAAATAAATTCAAATTAAAATGAACTATAATAAAGAGAACAGCGATATATATATTACGATATCTCTAACAATAATAAATAGAACATAAATTTCGAATTTCTATGAATTTGAGAGCTCCGTCTATGAAAAAAAAAAATAATAAATATGTAGATATTTCCTCTAGGAACAAATTAAAATCTATCAGGAGAAAGTATAATAATAACTTAATTTTATGCTATCGTCTTGATTTAATTCGATGAAACTTCCGTTGAATGCGGATAATTTTTTTTTTAATTTCTTGCAGGAAGATATACTCATCGATCATAAATTTAACTTAGAAAGTTGCTGAGGAAATAGAGCGAAGTAACTTAAACTAGAGTTGACAGACTTACGCTTTGCTTATATTTATTTATTTCTTTTATTTTTATTTTATTTTATTTTATCTCTCTTATCATTAAAATATATGTATAATATTTAACAATAATATTTTTATAATATATTATATTTATAATAATATTATTTTTCATACAAAAAGAATATTATTATAAATATAATATATTATAAAAATATTATTATTAAATATTAATTTTTAATTTAATTAAATATCAAATATTAATTTTTTCAAATTCTGAGAATGCATGTAATTCATAGAAATTTGAAACTTATGTTGTATTATTAAAGTTAAAATTTATTAAAATAAATTATAAATAAGTAAAATAAATAATAAATTTATTTTAAAATTTATTAAAATAAATAATAAATAAGTAAATTATATTTATAGAAATCTCTGTGCTTTTCGTATAAAAGAAACTCTAAAAAAAATTTATTTCTCTGGCTCTTCCAATTCTGGCTTGTTAAAATTAAGATAGAGGAAATATTATTATATCTTTTATACAAAAGATAATAAAATAAAAAGAAATACAAATATAAAGAGCAATGCACAAAAGAAGCGATATGTAAAACGTTAATAAAGATTAATCTTTACGTGCAAGGCAAGTCGATCTAATTAATCTTTGACGGTTCGTCTCTTTAATTAATTAAAGTGAAAAGACGAGAATAAATAAATAAAGTGAAGAGAGGGGGAAAAATTCCATCTTTTTCATGCACTTGTCAAGTATTACTCTTGTGGAAATGAGTTAATTATTTACTGAAAGACCCGTTCTATAATCATTACTGCATGTGCATAAATTCATGAAAATACGATTAAGCATTCTAATAGGGTTTCGAGTAAATAATACACCTGTCGTTTCAGGTGTTTCGTCAGGAAAGATGGCAGATGCTTGGGTAGATCGATTTGCAATGGTACACTATACAGTTAGCCGTAATATCGGCATTCGGTTATCCACCACTTACTCCACTGCTTATCCGTCAACATCTTAAAGACGCCGGCATATTATAACTCATCTATCTAGGACATTCTTGTCCGCCATCTGACGCGCGCGCGAATGTGTGCGTGAGGATAGAGCCATCAACATTCGTCTTTTTTTCCTTTTTCTTTTTTTAAACATGATGTACTAGCGACGGACTTTATTAAGAAAAAATTTAATATTAAGCGTCGTCTTTAATCATCTGCCAAGCTAACGGATCAACATTTTTTTTCTCTTTTCCTCTTTCTCTCGAATGGAGCGTACGGTTGATCGTGCACACCATATAAATCGTTTCTAATCGGGGAGCGGCAGGATACACGTTTAAGATTTAATTTCAGAACTGCCGCAAATCACAAATTCTTGTTATCCCACGGCTATGTCGCATCATCGAGATATAATATTTACATAACATGTAAGATGACGAGAATCAAACTACGAACTATTATCTTTAATAAATTTTAAAATTTAAATTATATAAAAAATATATCAAATAAAAATTACTCGATTTTGAAGAAGACATTTTATAAGTGACGCAATTTTATTTTTGCAAATGAGACGTTTTCGAAATAATTTGTCAAAATTATTTGCTTTCTTTAAAAATTGTATGCTTTTTCTTTTTAAATTGATTTTTTTTCATTATTTTACACGTAAATATATTAAAATATTAATAGGATTGTCAATAGTTTGCTAAATATTTTAAAATTTATTTTGACATATTGTGATAAAATATGTAATATCTTGTAAAAAATATTCTGGTGAAGTTTTTGACGATTACTTTAATACTTTTACATAAAGAATAATGAGATAAATTGATTGATATAAAAAATATATAATTGCATTTAAAAGATGTCCAATTGCATCTCATATAAAGGTAAATCAATTCTATTCATTTGTTGTGTGAAAAATTTAGCCAATATTTTAGTGAATAATGAGTGAATACTTTGTAAAATATTGCATACATTATATCACGTTATATTAAAATAAATTATGAGGAATATTTTATAAGATATTGCATATATTATGTCGCGATATATTAAAATAAATTATAAAATATTTTGTAAAGCTTATTGACGTAGTACGATAAATAAAGCAATTTCACATCATGCAATTTATCTTCGTCAATTTAATTATTCTTCCTGAATCTTTTCTTCACCTCTCAATTACGTCAAATTGAATTAGAGAGACCGTTTCGCATTAATGCTCATCAAACACATATCACTGTAAAGGAAAAAAGGAAATGAACTTGAAAGATTGGATGTCACTTTGTTCCTTAACATTAAAAGCTTTATTTGGGTCAAAAATTGCTATCCCGATTCAATCATTATTACAGTCATTTAATTAGCTATCTTGTAATCATTGTGACTATAGGCACTATTAATCAATATAGATAATGTGCCTCGAGCGCTTTGGCGCGAGACAAACATCATCGATCTTCTGTCTAGCGGTGTGAAACATTAGAAGGAAACCTCTAACGATGCGCCTCGACGATGATTTTTAATCATCTTCGAACTTAATAGACGTGTGTGTGCGATTATGTATAATATGTTTCGATATAATTTTTGCAGTTTCGTAAAAAAATTTCTTTTATCAGTTTTTAGAGCTATAATTATTTCTTAAGATACCCTGCTTGCTACTTTAAATATTTATATTAATATAAATATTTTTGATGCAAAATATACAAATTATTATTTGCAATTAAATGAAAAATTTATTTTCGCTCAAGCCTTATTTTTTATTTTACATCAAAAATTTTTTGTTGCGAATAAAGTTTTGATCGACTGTCGAGAATAAAACGAAAATTTTGACGAGCATCGATTCACTTTTTCGCACGTGAAAAAGTATAAAATATAACTGTAAAGCCCGCATTCATTTTATTTCTTGCTTATCTATTCAATGGATGATTCTCACGTGTAGTATATCTAATGAAACTCGAATTTAGAAATTAATTGTATCACGCAAGCACGAACAATGAAAACTTGGATTACTGCACAGTCTGGGTTTTTTTTCGAACGCTTATTTTGTTTCTGCTATACTTCGGGTCTCTTCTTGTAAGATGAATATTTTATAACGTTTCATCATTAGTTCCACCTGAGGAGCACGAACAGCGAGCGTATATTTTAATCATTCGCAAATAATTCATACTTGGCTCTCTTCCGTGTACGTTTCTCGCGTGTATCCTCAGAAAATTCACTAGGGATCACTCAGGAAATTCACTTCTTTGAGAATGAAATAATTCATGCTACAAGTATAACTAGTAATCACTTCCTTTAAAACTATTCTGTATAATAATTTCGACAGTTCGATATATAAGATCTCGAAATTAATGATATATTCCATCAAAAAGTAATGATATATAAAAAAAAATTAATTAAAATTAATTAAAGAATAAAAATAAAATTGGCTCGAAAATAATAAATTATAGAATACATTTTTTTATACGTGACTTTCCGATAAAATTGGCTTTGAGAGTCAAAAAATTAATGAACACGACGTTTTTTCTTGAATAATCTCTAATAATCTTGTATTATCAATTATATTTTCTCGATAATAGTTATTAAAATATTTACACATATGAAAATATTATTTTTTCATTAAAAAAATAATTTATGTCAAAAATTTGTACATAATTTCTTTTCTTTCTCTTTCATTCTTTTTCTTTAATTTGATTTAAATTATATTAAATCTTTTTATTAAATAAAATGTTGCACTTTATTTGTTCTATATATTGATAATCGTCATGTGACAACGATATTATATTACAAATAATTTAAGTCTAAAAAAAATATAGATGTGTTAATTTTAGAATCATTTTTCTATCAAAAACACATAATCATGTATGAAAAAAAATTATTCAACTATATTTTTGATTTTTTTCATGTAAAGATAATAATAGAATTATTATCTTCTCACAATTAGTTTTACTACCAATTATGAAACATAATGTATGCAGTATGCGCGTGTATATAACATGAATTCTTTCTTTATAAATAAACATTGGCACAATGACTTGAAATTATTATAAAAATAATTCGATTAAAATCGGAATCACTTGAATTTCTCTCGTTTTTGTTATTTGATTCTCTTTTACATCATTAAAGAAATTATTTTGCAATTGAGTTTTGGAAAATAAAGAAGATCAAGTACGAATATAACACATTAACATAATAATTATAAAAATATACAATTATTATAAACATAAAATTTGTAATGAAATCTTTTTAACAAATATTTTTAATAAAATCAATGATATTTAATATCGAATAATATATTTTTTATAATATATAATATTTTAAATAAAACTTTTTTCCTAACATGTTTTGTATTTAATACAATTAATTAATTAAAATAATTCTTTCTTTATAATTTTAACTTTAAGTTTTCCAAAATTGTAATGTGATAGCTCATTTTTTTATGCTAAATTGATATTGGCATTAAAAAAACTACACAGAATAATTGTTTTTCACACATATACACATATACAGTTTCTTTTGTTAAATTATATTATTTGTTAATGACGAATAAATCATAAGATATCATAAGCACTGACCTGGGAAAAGCAAGTCTGAGGTCGGCTCTGAGTTTATTCAGCAACTCGCTGACCGATGTGAATTGTCTCAAGGTCATTTCGCCACTTCCGGATGCGTAACCGGAACTCGAACTGGTTGTCGATGGCAAGGTACCTTGGGAATCTTGAACAGTTCCTAATGGACGTCTTCCCCATCGTCTCAGCGCAATTGCATAATCCTCAGCGTTGTACGTAGGTGGCCTTAAACGTTCCTAAACGAATAGTTTGATCATTTATAATCTCTCAATCTCTTCTTTCCTCTCTCTCTCTTTCTTTCTCTTTCTCAATTTACATTATTATTAAAATTAATAAATTGATCATTAAATTGATATTACACAACTCGTTTAATAATTAATAATAAATAATATATATATATATTTTTTAATAATATTTAATAACATTTTTAAAATAATAAAATAATAAATTTTAAATAATATTTAATAATATTTTTAAATAATATTTTTAAATAATATTTGTTTATATTCGATACATTTTATATCTTACGTTAATATCACCTTTAATATAGAAATTGTGCTAAATGATTTACGATATATCAGGGCAATCATATTTTTAATTCGCGTATGAACAATATTTGATTTCTTGAAAATTTTACTAATCATCTACAATAAAATCTTTTTTAAAAATAAATATTCTAACATTGTGTATGTACTAATAATATAATATAACCATGCTATGGTCCGATGAGAAAAACAGATAAGCAACTGATGGAGAGAAAGAGAGAGAAAGTATGAAATAACGTGTAACGTGTATAAAATTCGCATGAAACATGATTTAAAGTGCAAATTCATGAGACACTCGACACTCATTTTCAGCGTTAAATCACATAATCAATAATAAAAATAATAAATTGGTACCTTTATTCACGTAATGTCTTTTGACGCTGAAAACGAATGTCTTGTTTACTAATAATTAATGATAAAAATTATTATACAATATTTTCTACGTACTATATTTGATACATGTCCTGTCACATATTCTGTAAGTCCGCGTTTTTTCTTGTTTTTTAACAAGGAATACAAGTAGACATATCAATTTATCTTAAAATAGAGACTTTATGAAAGTTTTATTGCTTACGGATACTTGTCTCTTGTTAGAAAGCATTCTATATTGATGATAAAACTGTAGAAAATGTAACCAATCAGATTCAAACAAGGATCTATACTTTTTCTGTCATATATCAATCTCGATCATTAATGCTAATCTATGGACACCTTTGTGTCGCGTTTAATAGAAGCTAATATCAAATAATGCAACTCGCGAGATATTTGATGCGTGTAGTACTTATATAACATTGCATCTTGGTATTGCTAGGATATTGAGAATCAACAGATTTGTCAATATTTGGATATAATCGCGATAGTAACTATTTTATATTTTTAATTTTAATAATTATTTAATTTTTTGAATTATTTTAAATTATTAATAAACTTAAAAATATTAACAAATTAATAAATTATTTTAAATTATTAATAAGCTTAGAATTATTAATAAGCTTAATAACGATATTATTTAAGAATAGTTTTAATAAGAGAATTTTAAAAATTAAAATAATAAATACACGTGTATACAAGAATTAATATCTGTATAAAATATTGTATAAAAATACAAAATTTGGAATACGAGAAGCACAAATATTAATTAATAATTTATAAATTGTAAATGAAGCATCTGTCGCAGATACAGTTATGCCAAGTGAGGCAACGTATCATCAGAATAGTGAGCAATTTTATATTCACGAAAGTATATTGCATAATTTATATTTCAATAATTTGGTATTGTTACATCATGCGCAGAGTTTGTACAAGATCTTTAATTAAAATGAATTCTCTTCGTTCCCAAGAATTACGAAATTTAGTTACAATTTTAATTAATGTAAACGAAATATAATGCAATCTAGATGCATAAACATGATAATTATGATCAATTATGTATTATTTTTTATGTATTATTTGTATTTATGTATTATTTTTTATATTATTCTGCATATATTATTTATAAAATTTGGCATAATGTATTAAGTTTGAAAGTTTCTAAATATATACAAATATAAATAAATATATATGAAATAAGTTATGTTTGTAATATTACAGCGCTAATTAAATTACATAATTTGAGAAAATAGTTTGACAGAAAATTTCGCAAGTAAAATTTTAAAAAATATATATGTACGATTTTTATTTATATAATAAGGATATGTGTATTTTCAATTTTGATTGAAAAATTCTCTTTGTTGATATTTTAAAAATTATTTAAAATTATTTAAAATTTTTGATTTTTTTCTTTAATTAATATTATATAATTGATTTATATAATTAGTACCATTATATATTATAAATAAATATATTTCACCATTAGTCGAACGCTCTTACTTGATGTAGCAATAATCATCTTTTTAATGCTCAAGTAGCACGACTCGATTGAAAAAGAAGAAGACAATTACGCTTAATTATGTCAATCATTGATTTCTAAAAATAATAAAGAATCAAAAGAAGGTTTTGAGAATGAAGGGAAAAATCTGACATTTTCGTTAGTCAATTAAATCATTCATAAATATCCACGATTGCCTACTGTTTTTTTTAAATATTACTTTATCATTCACGTCGTAATTAGAAATGACGATTTAATTGGCATGAAATCGTAAAATGGATCAATGTTATCGCATCAATCTTGAATCTACCGAACCATAATATGTAGCTTTTTCTATAGTCATATAATTCCTTATCGATTTTATCACAGCTCATATAATTCCTTATCGATTTTATCACAATTCCGATTAACGGAATGATTTACGCTTTTTTCATATTTTAATTTGTAAGTAAATACTGCATACAAATGTACGTTTCTCGCTCTTAATACATCAGTATAACTTTAAATAGACGTTTCTCTTTTACTAAAAAAACTGCAACGGATTAAGTTTAATGCGTGAATTTAAAATGAATGTAAAATGAATGAGGTTAAAATAGTGAGCATTTCGACGTATATCATGTCATGCTATGTCATGCTATCATTAACTTATCCTTTCTTTCATCCCGTTTTTTAAAAGGATAGGTTTGCGAAAGTTAATAAAGTGTGACAAAGCAATTTTTTCTATTAATAACGGTGATTATCTCTGAAATTAATACATGTGATTTATCGATATTAAAAAATAAATGCAATTATACTTAAATTTTTCATATAGTAAATATAATTGAAAACTAAACTAAATATAAAAAAAATATAATATAAATAAAATATAAATAAAAATATAAGTATAAAAGTATAATGCATTTTTTGTTATCTCATTAAATATAAAAATTTCACGTAATTTTATATACATGTATGATATAATATTTTATTTAAAAAATGCCGAAATAATAAATAATTAAAATCATAAATAATTAAATTATATATCTAAATATCATGCATTGAAAAGTAAGACAATAATTTTTGTATAATTAATACTTTATTATATCCGTTAAGTTCCATTTGATTTAGATAAATTTTTATTAAAAAAAGCGATATTTAAATTTCTTCGTAAAAAGAAGCAATATTTGAGTTTATTTGTATATAATGTGATGGATGATAGATAAACTTATCCATCACGTAACAATACTGCGCGCTAATTTGTACTAGTATTGTAGGATTTAACATGCGCTACAAATGCTTCGGCTTTGACTGTGACAATAAAAAATACACCAAGTCATTTTCCCGCTTGTGAGTACCGTAGCAGTGAAGCGAATCTCATCAGCGAGCGATGTTTTCTCGCTAATACGCGCCATTGTGTTCCACGCGAACAAATTACGTAAAATTTGATTTACTTTCATGCTTACGGTTTATGTAGAATGTGCAAATTATATGAAGAAATCCGCTATTGACGTACGCATGCGGAAGCAATAGAAATTATTCAAATGAGTCAATTACATTCGGATTCGTTCCCGTTCTTCAAGTACGAACGGTTCTCCTCTTTCGATATAACGTACGCTTATCGAATAGCAAGCGATCCAATATCTTGATAATTCATTACAGCGAGCAATCGCTGAAGAACACGTTTAGAGAGAATTTCAATTAAGTAAATTAAGTGTTTTTTTTTTCATATTTTCAAATATTATTCTATTTTTATTCGCGTAAATGACTTCAGACAGGCATTAGCTCGGAAATTGAGAAATTAAAGAGCTACGGGAAGAGTTTAGGGGAAGAGAAGAAACAATATATGATCGCAATATATCAAAAATAATTTTAAATGCGAGAGGAAAAAATAATGCTTGAAAATTTCAGGAAAATTAATTCAGATTAATTATAAATTAATCAATTGAGAAATTTAAATTAATTTTACAAATATATATATATATATATATACAGGGTGTTCCAAAAGTCCCGGACCGGTCGAATATTTCATAAACTATGCACTTTAAAAAGAAATGTTTCAGACGAAAGTTGTATGGCTTGAAGGGGACCATCAGATAGTGGCAATGATTTGACATGGGAGAGTCATTTGAAAGTCACGTGAAGATCACCGTCAATTTCTTAAATGGACCACCTTAAATAACCCCCTATTTTTTATTACATATTCGTGTAGCTTATCTCGAGAGCTGTCCAAAACACTATAATAAAGTATTTCTTTATCGAGTACTTTTCGAGTTATAAGGCTTGAAATCATTTCTTAATTTTGCATAAACCATAAAATATCTAGTAAAATATTCATTTTTCGATTATACTTTATATTATATTTATATTATACTTTATATTATACTTTATATTATATTTTACCTTAATACTTTTATGTACAAAATAATGAGAGAAATCAATTGGTATAAAAAAAACACATAGTTGTTTTAAAAAAAATATGTAATTGTTAATAGCAAATTACATATTTTTTTCTTAAAAACAACTATGTTTTTCTTTACACCAATTGATTCCTCTCATTATTTTGTACATAAAAGTATTAAGATAAGATAAAAAAATATTTTTTATATAAAATATTAATAATAAAAATATTTTTTATATAAAATATTAATAGTATTTTCTAAAAAAAATTTCTGAAAGAATACTTAACAAAAATTCTTTTTAGAAAATCCCAGATATTTTCCTTAAATATTTATTTTACTATCATCATTATGGAAATATTTACGACGTACGCTAATTATTTTTGGTTTTTCTCGTGTTTGTGAATTCTTTCTTTTAATTCTTAATAATTCTTAATAATTCTTAATAATTCTTAATAATTAAATTAAATTAAATTACAATTTAATAATTCTTTAATATTGGTTATTAAGCAACAAATTGAAGGAAATAATGCTGCTTTTCCTGCTTCTTGTTAGCGCAGAACGAAGGAAAATGTGAAATTGGCACGCATCATTGCCTAAACTGGCGATTTTTTTTATAGCAACGCTTTCGATAAAAGTCATCAATTCTATATTTTTAATACGTGCTATTCCTTCCGCAATTTAAGTGAAATCGCCGCACGTTCTTCGCCGACTTTCTCGCGACGACGAAACATCACATATGACCGCACGCGCGATCCTCGTCACAGTCGATCTAATTTCCAGATCATCCGCGAGCGATTTCCATTTTTATTCGACGGATCGAGCCGTATAATTTTGATCGTGCCGTAAAACTTTCACGTCCACGTGAAAACGTTCAAGTGAAAACTCATCTCGGGGCAATCGATTGCTGATTTATTGAATTAATATAAGTAGCGTACACTCCCGATTAATCGAATCGCTTGTGATTTAATTAATTACGACGCATCGCTAATTTATTTACAGGACTATTTTTTAAACCGTATAACATTCGAGGCATATCATTCGATCCGATTTCGTTAATTACGTAAACAACGGTACATAAAAAAATTCTCACGTCATTTTTTACCTCGCGCTGTATAAATTACTTACCGTGAGCGGTCGAAAATACGGAATGGAGAAATATTTATGAGTTTATGTTACGCAATGCGTCATGTTGCATGTGCCGTTAGCGACAAGGTCAAGGCGGAAAGTGACTTTGCTACTTTAGCTCTCGGAAGGCCGGGAATTTCTCTCATGTCAGTATTAATGCGCTCTTTCTCCTTCTCGCACGCATATGTCAACTAATTGTAAGTCGGGGCGACGAGGTTCTCACGGTAAAAGTCGCGAGGAACCGGCAAAACAGCTGGTTTACCTATCTGTCCTCGCCATCGGAAGCATCCTGAGCTGATATTGCTGCGTGATCATTTAACACGATTCGAGTTACGTCATAAAGCTTCCGCGCCGAGTTAACACGCCAGGTGATCGGCACGCGACGCAATTCGCATCTCAACGATATTTGTTACACGGTAATTTACTTAACGTCTCTATACTCTACCTTTTCCGGCTGCGGCCCCCATGGTTTCACGACCAGCAGCTCCTCCTCCGCATTGGGCGCCATGTCCGACTCGCTGAAAAAAAAGATATAAATGTATTATTCAGAGAAAATCACCGCAAATTTCTGTTCGTTATATTTTTAAAGGAGAAATATATAGAGACAGCTGTATAATTAATTTTTACTCTCTTATGGGAGGTCATTTTTGACTCCACCATTTTTGTAGCGAGGCACTTTGAGCATTTCGTCTCACATATATTGCGATAAAATATATTAAAGCAAATTATTTTGCAAATTTATTATTCCAGTTTTTATTTAAAAGAGAGAGGCGTATGAATTTTTTTGAATATTTTTATCCTTTGAAAAACGCATCTAACAAAAATGATTCTCTCTTGTTTTGAAGGTGCCAAAATATGATGTAAATATGATGTAAAGGTTAAAATTGTCGGAAATTTTTTATGAATATATCTGGAACTTTAAAAATTCTCTGGGTAAAAGCTAAAATCCCAATTATATCGAAATTTCGAAAATAAAATGAGCCAACTTTTCATACAATGCATTGGGGAATATAAAGGATTATAAAGTCGATATTGATAGAAGTAAAAAAACTTGACAAACAGCTGATAAGTAACTAACTGATAAATAAATTATTAATTAAAATCGCAACAATATTTTATTTTTCTAACCAGAGGAAACATCTCCAAAAATTCTGATGAAAATTTAAATACATACATGTAAAAAGAAGTAAATAGATGAATTTAGAAATTTTCAGTTACTGCCTAAAATGATTTTAAGGGGTTAAACTACCTCTTAAATATAGAGTGTCCTTTTGTTTTTCTCGATATATCTCAAAAATTTATTCGAGATAAAAATATTTTATATAAAATTTTATATCATAATTAAAACAAAAATTTTGGAAAAATCATTTTTTTCAGATTTTTTCAAAAATTATTTTTAATCATGGAACTTTTGTATAAAACATATTTAGATATCTAAAATAATTTTTGAAATCAAGAAAAGTAAATACATATGACAAATAATTTCTCCAGCCTTAGAATCATTTTTGTGCAATAACTGAAAATTTCTAAATTCATCTATTTACTTCTCCTCCCTTATTATATTATTATTATATTATTATTATTATATTATTATATTATTATATTACTATTATTATTATATTATTATTATATTATTATTATTATTATTATTATTATTATTATTATATTATTATTAATATTATTATATTATTATTATTATTATATTATTATATTATTATTATTATTATTATTATTATTATATTATTATATGTGTGTGAAATTTCGTTAGAAAATAAAATTGTCCAAGCTCGTGAGGTTCTTTTGTGTAAATAATAAAAAATAAATCACACATAGAATTAAATTAAATTATTCTTAAGTTATTCTATCTACTGTCATTTAATCTTGAATCTAAATAAAACAATTTTTATTCCAATTTGCAATTTTTATTCCATTGTCGTTTATCTTCTTAGAGAAAAGTACTTGAAATTGCAATCCCTAGAAATAAAAACGTATCCGTTATTAAAAACGGCATCTCGATCCAAGCAAGTTTTAAAAGACGCGTTGCCTCTCTCAAATACTACTTTCTTTGCGATCGATGCGGAATGTTGTATTTAATTAGCGAATGGCGTACATAGCGCTGTGTCGATCGTTCGAGTTGTAGAACGGCTCCACGGAATTTGCTTCGCGGTATTTTCAAACGGTACCTCACTCACGTGGTGCGTTCCGCCAGAATGGAGACGAACGATTCAACATGTGTTATTTTAGCAATTTCCAAATGGAAATTTTAATTTTATAATTTAAGAAAAATTTCGTAAATTTTATAACAATTTATAATATTTATAATTTTTAAAAAATTTACAAATTTTATAATGTAAAAGAACTTTATAAATTTTAATAAATCTCTAATTTAAAAAATTTTACAGATTTTAATAATTTTATCATTTAAAAAAATTTTATAAATTTTAATGCGATTTCATAATTTTCTAATTTTAATATAATTGTATTTTTGTATAATTTTAATTTTTAATTTACATCCAATCGAGATGTAAACTTCACCGTATCCCCGAGAGACATTTTTCCCTATCAAACTGCAAAATGATCGTCGTTAAAAATTGGATAAGTAGAATTAATTTTATCAACCTTGAATTAAGCCGATAATTTTTCACCGATAACTGCAAAATGATCGTCGTTAAAAATTGGATAAGTAGAATTAATTTGATCAACCTTGAATTAAGCCGATAATTTTTGACCGATAACGTCTCGTGCAAATGCGATCTATATCAATGATTCACGCGAGACATAGAGCTTGCGAAAGAATCACTCGTGGTAGCTAACCGCAAGTGGTATTAGCGCAGGGATTTCGGTTATCGCAATCGCGATTTTACACCTGCACACTTACTCGGTATGCAGATAATCTTATCCGTCGAGATAGAGGCGAAACTCCTCTCGCGAACGCTGGCATTTCACGGTCCGGTGCAGCGCAATGATTCCTTCTTCTAGATAGAAGGATACACGAGGACACGGATCACGGATGATAAGTTTTGTGGGTTAGCTGCGATGTAATAATAGGAGTCATGATGATCGGGCCGCAATCACGAGGGTATATGATTGCGCATCGATGATTCGATGGCAAGTCAAGTGAATCAGAAATGCACTATTACAGAACTATTGACGAACTTGTCGTAACTTTGCGAATTATATCGTGGTCAATTCACGCAACTTGAAGGTGTGATTACAATTTATAATTGGTATATTTTAAATATTATATCGTTACTAACAGATTTTTTAGTCACAAATCGCGTATACATTGTACATATGATAATAGATGAATAATTTGAGGACAATTCAATTGATTTAAGAAAATAAAATTGTTGCGATTATGCATTTATTATTTATTTATTACTTATTTATTATTTATTTATTATTTATTTATTATTCATTTATTAGCCTACAGCTGTTTGTCACTCTTTTATAAATATCGATTTTCAATATATTGTTCAATATATGTGAAATATTGGCTCATTTTATTTTATTTTTAAAATTGCGACATTGATAGAATTCTAGTTTTTATTCAAAGAATTTTAAAGTTATTAGAATATTGGTAAAAAAGTTTTGATAGTTTTAAATAGATATATGTGATGCTAATTCAATATTTTCTTTGTGTAAAAATACTTTTTCAAAATTATGATAAAAACTATCCAAAAATTTTTCTAATAAATTTGATTTTCTCTTGAAAAACATTTTTAAATACTTTCCCGAATATGAAAAATTCTGGCAATTTTATGGTTGCCAAATAAAATTTTTTTTCTAATATGTGATTTAAATATTAAGAATTTCGGATAATCTTTTAAGAATTCTATTGATTATTCTTATACAATTGAAATGATAAAAAAAGAAATAAATAGTAAGTTTGTAATTTTAATTCTCGATTAAAAATTTTTTAAATTTCTATGGGCAAAATTTTTATTTTGAAATGTAGCGTTTCTTTTTTTTGCATAGATATGTCAGAAAACGTTGCATCAAATCGATCCAATTAAATCAATTTTGAAATGAATTTTCATATAACGAAGATACAAATTTAATGTACTCTATTTCTCTTCCATTTTTATAGTAAATAATTTTCCAATCATTTATCAATAATGAATCGAAACATTTTTCTAAACACACAAAAAATACAGCTTTAGAATTTTCTTCTCTAGAAGAACATTTTTAATAATATTTTCGAAAAATTCTGGCAATTTTATAGTTGTCAATTTTTTCTGACATGTAACTTAAATCTTGAAAGTTCTGAATAATCTCTCAAGAATATCTTATTGATTATTCTTCTGCAATTGAAATGATAAAAAAGAGAAATAAAAAGTAAGTTTGTAATTTTAATTAGAAATGTAGCAATTCTTTTTTCTGCATAGTATTTTCATAGTTATGTCAGAAAACGTTGCATTAAATCTAATTAAATCAATCTTGAAATGATTGAATAAATTATTTTCAAGACGAATTTTTATTAAAAAAAAAAATACAAATTTAGTCTCTATTTTTCTTCCATTTTGTTTAGTAAGTCATTTTCCATTTCTCATTTTTTAAAAATAAAGCTTCCATTTTTCATTTTCTTTTTTAATAAATCATTTTCATTTATTAATAACGAATCGAAACATTTTCCAAACACGAAAAAGGCAGGTTTAGAATTTTTTTTGAAGAAGAAGAGTCAGACGCATATCAAGCTCTAATTGTATTGAAATCCCGACATGAGAATAGGCCGCGAGCTTTGCAGAAATCATGCAAGTCGCTCTCGGACGTCGCGCGTGGACCTCTCTCGCGGAAGCGCTGCGGATGCACGCGTGCATGCGTACGTGCGTACATGCGGGATATGTACTTGAAACGCGTTCTTGGATGTAAAACGCGGAGAAAAAAACGCACGTACGTACCCACTGCTCGGAGACAGCCGAGGCATTGACCCGCGCGCGAGCGGTTAGTCTCGCACACATATGCGCGCCTACTACGCCAATACACGTACATACGTGTGCACGGTGCTTTAATAGCATTAAACGGCGCGCACTCCCTCCGTTTATATCTCTTCGCGGCTACCGCTGCGTCTTGAAACAATTCGCCACCGTATCCGCCACGGGTTTCCGCTTTAATGTACCTTAGACCGCAGACAGCCCACAGTTGTCCGCGATAGTAACAATGCTGGCAATAAAATCGTCTTTACTTTTAAACCCTCTGCAGTCTGGACGCGATTTTAATTCATGGGAGACATCTGTTTCGGAATAGAGCGACATTTTATATTTGCAATTTGCACGAGAGATCGATTTTCGTTCATTAAATTTTATGTTTATACGTTGCAATATTTATCTGTCGTAATAAAAAAAAATCTTGTTATTGTTGTAAAATATTTGTTTCGACGTCGAGCGGTCAAAGAGTCTTTAACTTAATCGGAGATCATCATTCGAGATCGATTTCATGTTTTTGAACAATTAAAAAAATATTTTTTATCAAGTCTGAAAACTGGACGTGTATACAGGGTGTCCCAAAATTCATAATC